GGGGAGTGGCAGATGGAGAGGGAGAAGCAGGCTCCCCACTGAGCAGGGAGCCCAATGCAGGCTTGATCCCAGTACCCCAGGATCATGACCTGAGCTGAAGGCAGACGCTTAACCGAGCGAGCCACCCAGGCGCCCCTGCCATTGTTTTTGAATGGCCTAGTCTTCAAGGTCTGGATCCCAAAAGGGGAAAATGAAGGACGACAAAAGTCACCAGCCCTTTAAAGACCCTGAAAGTCACCTGAGCCAGATGGAAAGCAGTTTGCAAAAATGGGAGGGGGTGCAACAATGCCACCAGCTCTTTCTCTGAACCTCTGTGTTCAAAAGCCACAATCAGAGCAGGTCCCAAATATATGGAAGACAGGGTGCTTTTTGCCCACCCTGGCTCCACAATCTGTGTAAAAGCTACTCCAGGAACACATACACTGCTGTCTGCCACAGGGCAGAGTGGTGGGAGATGGGTAGCTACTACTACGCTAAGAGCTGAAATTGACCAAAATTAACTGCAATTTACCACCCAAGCCTTTCCCTGAAAATTAGGAGCCTTCAGACTCGAGGTTCAAAATATTTTTTTTTTTAAGATTTTATTTATTTATTTGAGAGAGAGAATGAGAGACAGAGAGCACATGAGAGGGGGGAGGGTCAGAGGGAGAAGCACACTCCGTGCCGAGCAGGGAGCCCGATGCGGGACTCGATCCTGGGACTCCAGGATTATGACCTGAGCCGAAGGCAGTCGCTTAACCAACTGAGCCACCCAGGCGCCCATGGGGTTCAAAATATTTATATAAGATTCTGCCAGTGCAATTTTGTCTAGGTGGGGAAACAGATTTCTGTTGTTTCCTACTCTGCCGTCTCCCCAGAATCCTCAAACCTTGTTTTAATGTTTAATAAGTTATCAAGCTTGGGTATCACTTCATAATTTAATCAAATTTTAACTCACAAGAAAGAATCCTGCTAACTTCCTTGTCTTCAAATCCTTAATTAGCCACATCTACACACAGGCATCACTGTCTTTCAGTCTGGACATAGGCCAAGAAACATTTGCCAAAGACAGGTGTAAGATGCAGCTACCAGTTAAGGGGAATAGATAAGATGACCTGTTTTCTGAATCTAAAACTCAGACACAGGGCCGGACAAAAGATTTGAGAATGATTATATGAAAAATCTTATAAATACATAAAAATTAAATTCAATTACGTTATAAATTTAATGCACTGCCTTTACAAAAGAAAAAAAATCTAATTAGGACCGTCTCCAGAAAACTAAGCCATATAGTCCCCACATATATGTTCAAAGAAGAAGAAGAAGGGAGGCATGGACCATTGAATGAATCATCCCCAACTTTCATTCTTTGCATATTTTGACCATCATAACATTTCAATAAATGTCCTGTAATAAAAGCAGTACATTTTTCTTTACATTTAATGTAAATACCAACAGTGGTCACCTATCAACTTCATACAAGGACACACTTCACAGGTTTCATAATCAAATTTTAAAATGATCACATGTAAAAAAAAAAATCACAATCTAAAAAAACACACAAATAATAAAAAACACCAGTACAGCATAAAAAAATACAAAAATGTAATTTATTTGTCTTATTTACCAAATGGTTAACTATAAAGTTATAATTTTTGCCTTGGAGTTAAAGGCAGTTTCACTTTTATCACAGTTACTTTTTCTGATCATATGCTAGAATCAGTATCTTCTGTGTTTTATCTGTATTTAATTGATCATTTACATTTTATATATTTGTCCACTTAAGAACCATATTTTCTGCATGATCACAGAAGCTCCATAATATAAAATGTCATTTTCTTCATATATTTGAGTAATACCGATCACGGTTTTGAAAGTCTCTATGAGCATATCTTGCATAAGTCTTGTTATGTGGGATCCTTCCAAAAGGTTCATGGTCATTGAAACAAGATTCAAAAACTTCATCAACAGCCTTTTGAGCTACTTCTTTGCTGATATTCCTAACAGCCAGGATAGAAAGAATGGCTCTGTCTCGTACACAGGTCTAAGGAGAAAGAAAAGTATGTGGCTTTAACTTAAATGACAATTTAATCATGAAATAATGATATTTTATATAATGTCTGACCACAGTCAGAATTAATTCCCTTTCGAACCCTCTTACACTGTTGGTGGGAATGCAAGCTGGTGCAGCCACTCTGGAAAACAGTATGGAGGTTCCTCAAAAAGTTGAAAATAGAACTACCCTATGACCCAGCAATTGCACTACCGGGTATTTACCCTAAAGATACAAATGTAGTGATCCGAAGGGGCACCTGCACCCCAGTGTTTATAGCAGCAATGTCCACAATAGCCAAACTGTGGAAAGAGCCAAGATGTCCATCAACAGATGAATGGATAAAGAAGATGTGGTATTTATATACAACGGAATATTACTCAGCCATCAAAAAAAAAAATGAAATCTTGCCATTTGCAACTACATGGATGGAACTAGAGGGTATTATGCTAAGCAAAATAGGTCAATCAGAGAAAGATAATTACTCATGTGGAATTTAAGAAAAAAACAGAGGATCATAGGGGAAGGGAGGGAAAATAAAACAAGAAGAAATCAGAGAGGGAGACAAACCATAAGAGACTCTTTTTTAAAAATATTTATTTATTTATTTATTTATTTATTTATTTATTTATTTGAGAGAGAGAGAAAGAGAAAGAGCACAAGCTGGGAAGGGGGGCAGAAGGAAAGGGAGAAGAAAACCCCCCGCTAAGAAGGGAGACCAATGCGGGGCTCAATCCCAGAACCCTGGGATCATGACCTGAGCCAAAGGCAGAGGCTTAACCAACTGAGCCACCCAGGCACCCCACTATAAGAGACTCTTAATCATAGGAAACAAACGGATAGCTGCTGGAGGGGAGGTGGGTGGGGGGATGTGGTAACTGAGTAATGGACATTAAGGAGGACATGTGATGTAATGAGCACTGGGTTTTATATAAGACTGATGAATTACTGAACTCTACCTCTGAAACTAATAATACATTATATGTTAATTAATCAAATTTAAATTTAAAATATTAATGGAAAAAAGAATTAATTCCCTTTCATATTATTTTATTCATTTCTGTCATTCTAAAGTAGAAACATAACTCTATGGAATATGTTTAGCTCAACCTAAAATTATTTAGGTATAAATAAGACCTCCTCCATTTTTTCATCTTTTCCAATAATATAACCAGATGTCATTTTCTGAAGTTTTAGGTAGTCCAACAAACAGTAACTCCCAATTTGCAAAAATCAAAAAAACAAACCAAAAAAAAAATCTATAAATAAGGTTCTAGTTGGATTTTTAATAAAATTTAAATAGATTTAAAATATACTTTACTTCTATGTCTTTCTCTTCCTTTACTTTCCAGTTGACTAATACTAGATAATCTTTCCTTCAAGAGGGGCATCTCCCATGGAGGCAAAAGGAAGCTACACATGCATATACATAAAATTTGAAGGTGTCTTAATTTTTCAGGAGAAAAAAAAAAAAAATCAAACAACCTTTTTTTTTTCCCTGAGCGTTCTTTGCATGGGTATTAAATTCTCTATCTAAGAAAATAAATTATCTAATGTTACACAGTAATAGGCTAGAATTTCTCAGTATTCTAAATATGTTAAGAAACATAAGGTCCTGCCATTCCAATTCTTGGAGAGTTTTAAATCCATTTATTTCTCCACAAGCCCAAGCTAAAGTTCAAAAGAATGGCATCTAACCTTTTCATGAAAAATAACCAAATACTGGTTCTTACAGCTATGCAATCCGTCAATCATTCATCTTCTGTGTGTGTTTCCTGCTTTACTTCACCCTGGTCAGCATGCCTGAGCTGGGGATGCTCACTAGTATTAGAATATAAACCAGTGGGACACCTGGGTGGCTCAGTCAGTGGTTAAGCGTCTGCCTTCGGCTCAGGTCATGATCCCAGGGTCCTGGGATCGAGCCCCGCATCAGGCTCCCTGCTCCGCAGGAAGCCTGTTTCTCCCTCTCCCACTCCCCCTGCTTGTGTTCCCTCTCTCACTGTCTGTCAAATAAATAAATAAAATCTTAAAAAAAAAAAAGAAAGAATATAAACCAGTGCTTCTCGACCTAAATTACACTAAACACTGATTTTAAAAATAAACCTCAGGCATAAAGGAAGAAGAAAGAGAGGATGAACCATATGGAGCTACGGCAGCAATTGCCAGAAAGAGGACATTTCTCCCTTCCAGGGGAAGAAACGATGGTAAAAATTTGTCTCCTGGAGCTACAGGTTTGGGAGGCACACGTAGAGACCACAGTTCAGGTTTACTTCTTTCCAAATGTAATTCATTCCTGTTAAAACTGGGTGATTTTACCATATTTGGCCATCAGTCACTGTCACCGATGTTGGTGTCTCTTGGGTACATGTCATACGAACGCAGGGACTCCATTCTCTACGACTGTTCTCCCTCCACCAGGCTCCCACTACCTCCCCAAACTTTCCCTCCTGTTGCTAGTTCTGTTCACTTTCGGTGGCCGCTACCCAAAGGAAAAAGAGGAGAGACTTATCATCGTCAGGGCTGTGCTGATTCAAAGCTTTGCTGTCATGTCACACAGCCCTTAAAGGAGCACTACTACCCGGCCATAACCTGTGCTGTGGGGCAGTCTTTGATCCGATAGGTATGACTTTTTTGTCTCGGGAATACAAGTCCCGGACTGCAGGGATCAAAGTCAGACGGGCTGTGATTTTGCATCAGGTCTTCATCTACCTGCTTCCAAAAGGATCCCAAGAACAAGATCATATAGTTCTTTTCACTATTAGAATCTCTCGCTGAGTCACACAGCTTGCCCGTAATTAAAAAGTAGAACTAAACTCCATCTATTTGGCTTCAACAGGATACATTCTGTATTCTTCCCATAGAAGTAGTTCTTTCACGTTTCAAATACTAAATGTACTTCTCATTTCTTTATGCATTATTTCCACTCCTAGCACTCTGAAGGGTGAGGGATTTCATATGTTAGTTTTACCTGATGATGTTGTTTCAATCCAAAATGCAGCCTGAATATTTCATTTACAAGAGAGCAGTCTCCACTAAGGTTAGCAGCTCGAACCTATCACAAAGACAGAGGCAAAGAGAAGGAAAGTAAGTGTTCTTGCTCTATAAAAAGTTTTGAAAAAGAATTTAAAATTAGCATGTCTTTCTGAAAACAGAGTATCCATCGGATCTTTTTCAAGAATGTTTTAAACTCTGACATAGACTATTTTAAGTTATTCTTACATTAAGAAAAAGAGCAGATATCCATGAGCTAGACTAGACAATGCAAAATAAACTGGGGGTTTGGGGGAGGGTCAATCATTTATCAAAGGGAACTTTCAAAACTTCACACCATAACCTGTGTAAATTGATGCCATCCCCCGGGGCCTCAATTGTCCTTTGAAAAATTAAGTTCTTGAAACTTAAGCAAGAACATTCCAAGCACAAGAACATTCCCAACTGGTCATGCTATGAGCATGACAGCCTGAAGTTAGGACATATTTTCTAATTCACTATATTTTTAAGGTAAAATGCAGCTTCAATAGATGAAAAGGTCTTTCTACCTTCTACCAGAACTACCCACATGAATGCTACAGCCAACCTGGCCACATTTTTGCTGATGTACTGCAAACAGAATGGCCCACTTCTTGTGACTTCTACAACAACATGGCCTCATTCCTCTGAGGATTTCAAGGCCCTTAACATACTTTAGCTAGCTAACAGGCATTAATTCTCATAACGTCCAAGAGAGAGACCTATTTAAAAACTCAGGTTTCAGTCTACTCTCCAAATAATATGAGTTATAATTAGAGGCAGTGGGGCTGCTTATTAATTTCAAGGGAAAGAGAAAATAATCTAAGTTATAAAGTATACACTTAAATTTATATTAGTTTTTTTTTTACTTCTCAGCACACTGCACTCTTCAATTAATGAAATGCTCATATTAAATACATATGTCTAAGAGCATAAATATACTGCACTTCTGAGAGCAACCCAAAGTGCTTATTATTACCATAAAAACTTTTTATGTCGTATTTTTGAGACTACATGTCTTACTCTAGGGCAAGCAAGGCACTCCACCTATGGAAGGCAGCACGGCAGGACAGTTAAGAACCCTGGTTGCAATCCTGCCTCTGCCACTTACTAACCATGGATCTCAATCAACGCCTCCCTTTCGACACATAGAACATGCAGATCATAGCATCTACCTGGATGGACTGTTGAGTAGACACAATAAGAATCCACAAAAGGAACAGTGTTTGGCACATAGTCCTCAGCCAGGGTTAACTAGCATTAGTTTTTATATTATACAGTATATTCCACAGGGAAAATGGTTATTTGGTTAAATGGTTAAAAATGGTTATTATATACCATATATATATACACATATATGTATGAAATATATCTATCATATACTAAAAATGGTTATTTGGTTAAAAATGGTTATTATATACCATATATATATATATATATACACACACACATATATATATGAAATATATCTATCATATACTAAAAATGGTTATTTGGTTAAAAATGGTTATTATAAAGTCATTACTATTACTAGGATTTAAAGGTTATAATTAAGACAATTCTAAGAAGATACTTAAAATATCTCTTGTTCTGTCTCAAAGCTGTGTTCAGGAGTTAAAAATGGAAATCTAAGAGTAACATGGAACCATGACAGGAAGAAAAGGAGTATGTTTAAGTAAATTATACTTCAATTAGGTTTTCTTTTTTAAGATTTATTTATTTATTTGAGGTGGGGAGTGAGGGGCAGAGGGAGAGAGAGTCTTAAGCATTACACTTCAATTAAATGTTCAAACTCAACTGATGAATCACAGACCTGTACCCCTGAAACAAATAATCCATTATATGTTAATAATAATATAAAAAATTATTCAAGAAAAATAAATACATAAATATACATAAATAAATAAATGTTCAAACTCAGAGTGTTCCAGGGGGAGAAAGTATCTTTTACAATAAAACTCACTTCTGAGCAGGCCAAATGTCTGACGTCGGTGAACCAATTAACGTGAGCACGACAGTGATCAAACGCATGAACGAGCTCGTGGGTGACGACTCTGTTCATATGGGCCTGATTACGGATGTTGTTCTGGCACAAAACAATCTAGGAGGCACCAAAATAGGAGAAGTTCCATTATGTCTAACATCTACTCTCCTTTTGTAACTCCCACCTTCTCTCTGGTGTGAGATGGCTCACCAGCTTGGAGCGCTTCCACCCACTCTCCTCCCTCAACCCCACACCTCCCCATCCATCAAGGCCTGGTCCTAGAGTACATGCTCCATTAAGCGTTCCCAGTGACCAACTTCTCCCTCTTCTGTCTGAACTGAAGCACTTAATTAAATACCATCCTTGGTGGGCTGCTGGACTCCACAGCGTCATACTAGGAGTGGGCTTTGGAATGAAGCAGATTCAAACTCCAGCCCCGCTCCTTACTAACTCGGTGACCTTGGGCAAGTTTCTTAACCTCTCTGTGCCTCAGTTTCCTCAACTCTAAAAAGGAGATAATTAGAGTACCTACCTCATAGAATTGTGAGAATTAAATGAGAATACATGTAAACTGCTTCTTATCAAGTTTCTGAATGAGCAATGAATCAACAATGAATGACCACCACTGTCTCATTCTACTAGAACTGCCAGGGAAAAATCCTCAGAAAGACCTTCAGAAAGAAGTGCAAAAAGCCAACAGCACACTGAGCAGGACCCTATAAGAATAATAAACACATAAGGGATCCTAATAACAACAGTTACCATTTATTGTGTTCTTACTATGTACCAGACACCGGGATATGTGCCAGCTATTTTATATACATTCATCCAACATTCATCTTTCAATAATATTTCTTGAGACCTACTAGTAGATTTATAATTATTCATAATTTATAATCTATAATTATAATTTCTAATGCATAATCTACAAATGGCACTAGAAATTAATCGAATATTTACCAAAATCATTAAAGACATGCAATGACAGTTGTCATGAAGAAAAATCCAGGATGTCATGAGTACATACAATAAGAATGCCTGACCTGGTCTCGAGGATTGGGAAAGGCATCTCTGCAAAAAGAATGTTTAAACTGGGATCTCATGGGTGAATAGGAATTAAATTTGAGAGGTGGGGAAGGGAGCATTCCAGACAGAGCAGCCTGTGCAAAGGGGAGCAGCGCTGACAGAAGAGAATGTCTGAGAAGCTGAAAGCAGACTAGTAGCACAGAACTGTAGGTGACAGGCACGAGATAAGGCTGGGGAGGTCGGCAAGAGCCAAATCACTCTTTATCCTGAGAACAGTGGGAAGTCACTGAAAGGGAGGAGTGAAATGGGGGTGCTTTTATTTTTATCCTTTTGACTACAGTTGGAAAAATAAGCAGAAGATGACCAAAACTGGACGCAGAGAGGCTAGCTGAAGGCTAAAGAGGTATTCTAGGCAAGAAATAATGGTACCTGAGCAGGGATGGTGGGATGCCCCCCAAAATAATATTTAGGAGGTAAACTGGATAAAAATCGGTGACGGATATAGAATATGGGTAGGGAATCAGAGGTACAAGGATGATCTCTACATTTCTGGCTTGGGTAATAGGATAGAGGATGGTACCATTCACTGAGATATGCAAAACTACAACACCAGGTTGGATGGGGACAGGGGATGGTATAAACCATCAATTTGGACTTGGACAAATCTGTGAGGTCTCAGGTGCCTTTAAGATATCCAAGTGTAGGTGTGAAGTGGGCATTTGGATATACAAATGTGAAGTTCAAAAGAGAGCTCTGACCAAGGAAAATAAATGAGATCCCCTTGGCAGAGTATAGAGGAAGCAAAGAAAGGGATCTAACATCAAGGATTAAGAGACTTCAACATTTAGCAGCTGACAGAGGAAGGTGAGCTAGCAAAGAAGCAACCAGAAGAGTGTCATGTACTGGGGGAACCAGGGGAAGAAAGTGTCTGGCATTACCCACTAAAGCCAAGTGTATGCATACTATATGACCCAGCAATTCTGCTTCTAGACAAATACCCAGGAGTAATTTTTGCACATGTGCACCAGGAGAAAGGGTGAAAAATATTCACAGCGACATTGTTCACAACAAAGTCAGAAACAATATTAAATACGGTAAACTGCAATATAGGCATACAGTGGAAGACTATATAACAGTCCAGCTATGTAAATGAGAGGTGTGTACAACATGGAAGAATCTCAACAAAATAATTTTTACAGAAGACTATATACTGTATGATTTCATAAAACTACAAAGTATCACACAGAACTCAAAGTATTCCATGTATAAAACTTAAAAGCCAGGCAACTGAATAACACATGGTTTGACTGTACATAAAGATGGTAAAACCATTCAGAAAAGCAGGAAATGATTATCACAAGAGTCAGAATAAGGAAATGTGATAAGAATAAGAGAGGAAATGTGATCCAAGAGGGACACAATCTTCTGAAGTCCTGGCAAGTTCTATTTCTCAAATCTGGGTGGCAGTTACACAGGTAATCATTTTATTGCTATGACCAAAAGTATGCATACAGGTTTCTTACTCTTCTGCATGAATGAAACACTTCAAGATACAAATTATAATTTATAAAAATAAAAGGAGAGAGTGCCCAACTATGCTCAACACTGCTGAGAAGTACGATAAAAGTTCAAAATATCCACTCTATTTAACCCCAAGGGGGAAATGAATTCACCAAGACCCATTTTGAGAGCTACAAGTATTGTTATTATCAGTTTACAAATGAGGAAACTGAGAATAAGGCAAATAACTTGCCCAAGCCCCACAGCTAATAAGCAGGGGAACTAGATTTGAACTCAACTCCACCAGACTCCAAAACCCAGACCTTTCACTCCTATGCTATGTTTCTTTTTCCCATGATTACTGTGAAATACCTATAAATAACCAAAATACATATAATATTCCCCAGGAGGAAACAACTAAGTATTATTAAACAGGGTTGTATGTTCAAGATGGAAGGTGTTACTTATAAAAACTTCATCTACTCTCATCATACGACCTAATTCTTCTACCACCTCCAAGATGCTGTCAAAACCCTCCAATTGCTTAAAACTTTTATTGAATGCTTACTATGATAAGTACCTTACATGAGCTATCTCATTTAATTCTCCTAACTATATTACACGATAGATACAATCATTACCCATATTTTCCAGATGAGTAAACTTACTGGCCTAACCAAAAATGTTCAAAGGTATATCACTTCTCACGGGGTAAAGATGAAACTCTTTAGCTCAGCATTCAAAGCCTCCCACCATATGGCTTACCTTTCTTTCCAATCCTATTTCCCCATATTCCCCAAACATTCCTGCCCCCCAGCTACACTGGACAACATGCCACTTCCCAAATATACCTTGTCCTTTCCCAACACACCACCTTTGCTCATGCTACCCCTTATTTGGGCAACAGTCTTCGTCTTCTTTGCCCCTGAAGAAGCTTTATACGCTCTAGCTGAATCTGTAGGTATCTTGCAATCACATTACTATCCCATTGTGGTAACCACACCCACCTAAAATAGTTTAACCTGCCTCAAACTTTATCATTGTCTTATCTCCCCTGTGAAAGCATAAGCTCCTTAAGAGGAAGAACCATAACTAATTCCTTTTTTGAATCTTATACAAAGTCTACCCAACAGAATGGCCAGCATGCCAAGGTGCTTAGCAAATATCGGGAAAGAGAACCACCTGGGCAAAAATGCCTACCTGAGACGTTGACGCATCAAAACCTCCACTGACATTGCCATTACAGTCTTCACAAGAAAAGTGTCTTTCTTTGTTAACAGCACTAAAAGGCAAGCATGCATTAAAGAAACAATGTCCAAAAGCAGTGTGCACGCGGATGCGGTGCAGGGGAAACAGCCTTGGGTAAGGAGTCAGGAGCCCCAGGTCATAAATCCCCTCTCCCACTAACACATAAGAAACCTTGGGAAACCTTCACAACTAAGTTGTCTCATTTGTGATATAAGGAAATCGTCCCTGCAAAATCTATCCTAGTTCAAATTCCATGACATGATTCCATAAAGCATTTGGTACACTGATTAAGAACATATTGGAAATACGCTGGAGTTGCTCCCCTCGGGCCAGAAGGTTAAGAAGTGGACCTCAGATGTCACCTCCTCTAATCTCTTCCAAATTAAACACCACCTGGAAGGCTCCTACAAAACAAGCTGAGATTTCTTCTCCATGAAGGACAATGCTGAGTCTGGTAGAGTGGAAGAGCCAGGTTTGGTAATTACTTACAAGACTTTACATGCGGTCTTTATCAAATACCGGAAGTGAATGGTAGAGCCAGAGATTTAGAGTTAGGGCAGAAGATGTATGCAGAAAACAAGACCTGCCTGGAAAGAATACAGCCCATCCCCACCACCTACCATATGGAAAAGCCTTTGTGGCCTGAAGTGAAAAATAGTTAGTTCCAGTATGGGGTTTTTATGTTTTTAGCAGCCAGAATACAGACCAGCATTTTAAAAAGATTTACTTACCAACCTGAGTGCTTCATGGCATCAAGTAGAAGTTTGACATATGGATCTAAAAAGATATTGATTCAATTAAGTATGTTAATTGGAAAAAATAGAACCAATTAAATTATCCAAAAAGCAGTATATTATCAAAAAGTAACTCACAAATCTTAACGAAGTAATACTATCTTAAAATTGGTAAACATGGATATGAAAAGACAAGCTTAAATGAACATAAAAACAAGTCTTTAATGAAATAAAACACTGATACGAATACCAAGTTGGGTACTATTGAACATCTTCAATAATACCAAAAATGATTTTAAAGCCCATTTTTAGTTACAGGATCAAAAACATTGTATTAAAGCACATACCAAAAGAATGAGGGAATTGGGGGCCACATCCACAGAAAGGAACTGCAGCACAGTATCCAGATTAGAAGAAGGTAGTTAAGGAGCCCCAATGGCATCTTTCCTGGTCAGACCACAGGCTAACAGGATCCCATTCTGAGTACCACACTCTAAGCAGGACCTGCCAACTGAAGCTCTTCCACGGGGGAAAGCAACTAGAACAATACAGGACTTTGTATTGTAAGTCCTGTAAGAAGCAAGAAAGGCGTTGTGGCTTTGGAAAGAAGAATAAAAAACTTAACTAGGACCGCAATGGCTTCAGGTTTTGAAGGAGTGCCACGTGGGAATAGATTCCATCAATATTTCTTCAGAGGGCAGAACAAGGACCAAAGAGTAGAAGGTACAGTACGAGAAAGGATTTTTCCAACAATTAAAGCTGTTAATAAAATAGACCAGTAGCCTCAAAGAACCTCAAAGAATCAGTAACCTGTTCCAGCAGAGGTCTAGAAACTCTCTGGTTGGTGATGGTGCAGAGGTTTTCCTACATGGGGGTGGAAAGGCCTAGAGGACTCCTGGGGGGCCCTTCTAAGCATCCATGAGCCTGTGATGATTACAGGAAAGTACAACAAACCCAAATGCCTCTAATATCAACTTTTCATATAGGTGTCTCGTCTGAGTGTACAAATGGGCAGCATATTATATGACATAAGCAAAAAACAGAAAAAGAAAAGAAATCAAGGTGGTTTTTTTTTAAGTGTTGAAAGCAAAAATAGGTGAGTAAAAAAAAAAAGTAATGAGAGATGAGAAACATAGGCATAGGTTACTGCTGTATTAACCTGCCCCCTCTTAAGAGTGTTAACAGTAAAACAATTATTAGTGATAAATATTTTTTGTGTGTGTATATCAGGTGTCAGGAACCAGATTAAGTGCATTATTTATTATTCAAGCAACTACGAAAGCTTTACAAAGTTGAAGTGGATTCCAAAATCAATAGTCCTCTTACTAAAAAAAAAATGGTAACAATAATAATTGCAGGGAGCACAGTGGTTTGGTACTTCAAACAGGACCTGCAGTATTTAGAATGGATTTGCTTTAAAGAAAAAGGGAACAAAGATCTCCCTTGAGGCCCAGTCCTAGGGATAGGATGGTAAAGCTACAGGTTGATGCTTTAATACCACTAACACTTCTCCAAGCAGCCCTCCAGGGGAGGGTTGAGGCCTGTTAATTCCTCCTGGAGCTCATGGTCGGCCCACCACGGTCTTCACATCCCACCTCCGTATCTCCTCCACTGTTTGTCTCTTCCACGGTAAGCAGTTATCCATTACTCTGCTCCTGATACGCTCACACTTTACATTCATAAAACCTATTCCTCCCAACCCTAAGAGAGGTATTTTTACCCCTACCTGGACCTTTTTGTGTGTGCAGATAAGGATAGAGGGGATCAGAGAGTTAAGTCTTCCACACCTGATAAGGAGAGGGGCCAGAATTTGAACCCATGTCTAACTCTGCAGCCCGTCCTCTTTCCACTGCGCTCCACTTCAGAACCTCTAAAAGGCACAGCCCGGGGCCCTACGCATCCTTATTTCCCCACACCAGAACCTAGGAGGCATTCGATACACATTTCCAAGTGAATACAACCTCCTCATTCCCATTACCCCTCTTCTCCCCTCTCCCTTGATTCCTTAATATGCAGGTCATCTCAAGAAGGTTGGAAAATCTTTGGGTGGGTGACTTTTGAACTGTAATTGGCAGCTATGAGATAGTAACCTTGCTTTAGGACAAGTAGGTTTAAGACTTTTATTTTCTAAACATATCTGAAGTAAACTTAGAAAGTCCATGTCAGTGTAAAGGAGTTAAGAAATCTCTAGTGCAATGTCCCTGGGACTAGAGAAATTGGTTGTCCCTATTTAACAGCAGTGGTTCTTGACCCTTTGGGGGTCGGGCCTTTTTGAGCATATGATGAAGTTAGGAACGCTCTCCCCAGAAAAATGCATTCAGGTGCATACACACGATTTCGTAGTGCGTCTCAGAGGTTTCTACACGAGGAAGCCCATCCATGTATGAGGGTTAAGAACTCCTCCCAGTGAAGGGCAGTTGCAAAACTGCTTTCGAGCCGCCAGCAGTCATGCCTTAGTGAACGTGGCTCTTTCAAACTCTCACTCCCAAGTCCCCATACTGCTGCATAATTTACATGAGAAATCGGAGAACCTGTCATACCAGTGAGTGTGACCGAAAAGGGCAAACTCCTATCCGACTCCTCCCTCATTCCACAAGCAAGAGTTTCCCACCTCTGAAAGGGAAACTGAGGCCCAACCAGCCCCCCCCTCCCCCATTCCCCGCCACCACTCCCGCCCCAGGATGCCGAATCTACCTAGACCCTGCTCAGAGGTGCCTGAACCCTGCTCCTGCCACACCTGGGGCTGAACCGAGAGACCCCTGCCCTCCGGCTCTCAGACACCACCCGGCCGACCCCCGGGTCACGGCTCCTACTTGTCTCCAGCGTCTTCAGGAGCATAAGCTGGCACTTCTGGTTGTTGGTGAAGAAGCTGGAAAGGAACCCTTGCCCGGGCTTTCCCTGGGCCAGCCGCTCGGGGAAGACCTGGCACGCGACGTGTTGCTGCTGCAGCTGTTCCCCCGCCGCGGAACCGGGCCCGCGCTCGTCCGCAGCTCCTGCCATGCCGCCCGCGGACCTCGCCGCTGTTTCCTCCCGCCTCGGGCGGCCGGGGATGAGATCCGGGAAAGGCAACCGCCCTCCCGCCAACCGGGGCGCCCAGATCCTCCTTCCGCCGGCGGTCCCGGCCCCAGGCAGGGCGACTGCCGCAGAGCCTGGCTGAGGACGTTGGGGCCGCGGGGCCTCGGAGCCCAGCAAGGGACGCTGAGCGAGGAGAGGCTCAGGGAGGGGCGAGAAGCGCGGGGAGGGGCGAGAAGCGCGGGGAGGGGCGAGAAGCGCGGGGAGGGGCGAGAAGCGCGGGGAGGGGCAGGGCGAGGGATGCGGGGAGGGGCGGGGCGAGAGGCGCGGGGAGGGGCGGGGCGAGAGGCGCGGGGAGGGGCGGGGCGAGAGGCGCGGGGAGGGACGGGGGCGGGGCTCTGGATCCCCCGTCCGCTGGAGGAATTAAACCCAGCCGCTACACTCGCTGGCGTCTCCAGGGCTGCTATGGGCTTCGCTGCTGACCTTTGCCGCGGTTGGCCGATCCTAATAAGCGTGGTTCCGCAGCCCGCCTCCTCGTGGACACTCCTTCCTCAGTACTGGCCACTAAAGTCCCCTCACACTCTGAAGGTCTCAGGCATCCTCCCACTCCCTGCCTTTTCCACCAGCAGGCCAGTTGCATTCTGGCCCACCCATCTCCTGACGTCCAAAGCCATATCGAAAGCAAGTACTTTTCAGTAACGTTTGAAAGCTGCAATTATAATTACTGGTCATATCAAAATCCTCAAAATGTGGGAGCCAACTACTTTTTTTTTTCTGCCTCACCTGGACCCAATGGCCCACCCTACTCTCTTGCCACCCCAAATAACTTTCTGCTAACAAAACACAACCAGTTTACTTCTATCTCCAACCCTTAATTCACTTCCATCTTTAAGCACCTTTCCTCAGTCATGATCCAGGTCCTGATCAAATCTACCTATCACACAGGGCTTTCCCAGATACCTTAATCAAAATTATTCTCTCCTGATCTCCCAACGTACAAAGTACTTTGCATCTGTTATCATTTTCATCATAGCCTGCCAGGTTTTAACTAATTTGTATTTCTCTTTTTCCACTAAATTTTTTTTTTAAGATTTTATTTACTTATTTGAGAGAGACAGAGCACAAGCACGGGGAAGGGCAGAGGGAGAGGGAGAAGCAGACTCCCCGCTGAGTGGGGACTGTATCCCAGGACTCTGGGATCTCAACCAAAGCCAAAGGCAGACAATCAACCAACTGAGCCACCCAGGCGCCCCTCTTTTTCCACTAAATTACTCAGTTCAGCTCACATATTTATTCAGCACCTACTATGATGGACCAAGCATAATGGCAGAGACTGAGGATAAGAGAATTGATGAGGATGAAGAGGAGCATATGATTTATGTGAGAAATGTATAGAAATAATATAGGCTTAGGAGACCTTGAGGATTATGAACAGTGCTTTATGTGTCATGGGTGCTTAATAAATATCTAGATTGAATGCAAATCAAAACCACAAAGAGATATCACCTCACACCTGTTAGAATGGCTATTATCAAAAAGACAAGAAATAACAAGTGTTGGTGAATATATGGAGAATAGGGAACCCTTGTGCACTATTGACGGGATTGTAAATTGGTTAAGCCACTATGAAATACAGTATAGAGATTCTTTTAAAAAATTTAAAAAATAGAACTACCATATGATCCAGTAATTCCACTTCTGGGTATTTATCCAAAGAAAACAAAACACTAACTTGAAAAGATATATGCATCCCATGTTCACTGCAGCATTGTTTACAATAGCCAAGATATGGAAGCAACCTAGGTGTCCATCGATGAATGAATGAAGAAATGGTGCTATAAATACACAATGGAATATTGTTCAGTCATAAAAAAAGAATGAAATCTTGCCATTTGCAGCAACATGGACTTTGTATTCATCAGGAAGTGGTAAAAGTACTAATTTGTAGTGGATCTATTTAGTCAAGGATACATGTTGTAATCACAAGGATAACCATTAAAAGAAGAGCATTAAAGGGCAAAACTAATGCACTAATAGAGGGGGGAAATGAAAAATAAACACATTGGATGGGATGCTAGGGTTGTTCATCATTTGAAATATTACAAAAATATGAACACCTCCTATGTACAGATTGCTAAAATTATAATAGTTTTCTTTCTTTTTTTTTTTTTAAGATTTTATTTATTTATTTGACAGAGAGACACAGCGAGAGAGGGAACACAAGCAGGGGGAGCGGGAGAGGGAGAAGCAGGCTTCCCACTGAGCAGGCAGCCCGATGCGGGGCTCGATCCCAGGACCCTGGGATCATGACCTGAGCCGAAGGCAGACGCTTAACCGACTGAGCCACCCAGGCGCCCCTATAATAGTTTTCTTAAGCCGCTTTTTATTGAGCTCACCTTGGATACATTATTTCTAACCTCCACTACAATCCTACAAAATAAGTATTATTATCACTATTTTGCTGATAAAAGAAAAAGTGGGTTTAGCAATATTGAATATTTATCCAGGACCACACAGCCTTCAACCTATTTAGAGAACTAAAACATAAGCATATAGAAAACTACACTATTACAGTTATTGTAATGAGTCTTCAATATTCAGGAAAGGCTAGATAGAGAAGATGGGGCCTGACACTGACCATAGCCTATAAGCACGTGAAATACTATTTGAAATATTATTCAGCTACATGAATAAGAAACGAAATGCAAATTAAAAGCTGTAATTTTCCCCTACCAAATTAGCAAACGTTTTTTCCATATTCATCACTGAAGGCAACAAAGAAAGAAAAGTAGAAAAAAAAATTATGCCAAAATATGATCAGTAGTTGCCTAGGTATTGGGATATTTTTATTATATTCTGAATTTTCCTAGTGCTCACAATAAGCATATATTACCTTTGTAATCAGAAAAGTAAACTTTAAATAAATGAGTAAGCTTTGGATGCCATTTGTGTAACTTCATCCCTTTATAGTATAAAGACATAGGGTGGAATGGAAAGGTGTTAGGGGAGCGATAAGGAAGTGCAAATACAAAGGATTAAGCTGAAAAGAGAAAAGTAATTACCACAAAGAAATGAGAGTATGGGCAAAGATTTAGCTATCAGGATTTTCATTTCTCCATTGCAGCACTAATTAAGAGCAAAAAGGATAGAAAGTTTCAGTGTCCAAGAGATACAATGGAATACATGAAACCATGTTGTTGTAGTATCTTTTTAAATATAATCATAAAAATTAAGTTACGGCATAAACGTGATTCCATTTTGAAATTTCATTTACTATAAGCATAGAAAGGGTCTAGAAGACTGCTCCAGGATTCACAGTGGTTATTTCTATGTGGATGAGATTTGGGTGTTTTGTGGGGGTTTTTTGTGCTTCTCTTCGTTTTCTAAAGGAAAAATAGTTGCTTTTTTATTGGAAGTTTTTTAAATATATCACAGCAACACATGAAGTTGCATATCATTTTAAAGTGCTTTCCATCTTTCAGCTTTTTAATAACGTTTAATCCATTTATCGAGGGCCAACAAAAATTCGGTGAGTTTATAGGCTTTCCTCAGCTTTCCAGTCATTCTGAATGTTGGGGAAAAAAACAAAACGGTCCCCACAGCCCTGAGCAGAGACAGGCTACACCGCCAGCGCTCGCCAGCGACTGACAGGAATCTACTTCCGGAATGAGTCCCTCCTCCGAACCAGAAGCGGATGGCGCGCAGCATTCTGGGAAGACCTAAGGTAGCTGGGTTGGGCGGGGCTAGGGTTGCTGGCTGTTACCAGGGCAACTGGAAGCGACTGGCGGTTATCCGAGGTTTGAAGCCGTTAAGCAGTAGAGGCTGAGATGCTCAGAGGTCATTTGGGATGAGCGAAAAGGGCATGAGGGCCTTTCTAAGAGAAGACAGTCCTATCAGGAGGTTTTCCAGTCGTGCCCCGCGGCGGGCACACCTGCCCTGGGGCCATGGGTCGCGCCCACCTGCTCTTGCTCCTTGCTGTGAAAGTGTCGCCCAGTGGCTCCCGTCACTTCTCTAATTTTCTTCTGCCTTTTAAAGATTTTTTTTTTAATTTATGTGAGACAGAGAGAACGAGAGAGAGAGAGCACATGAGAGGGGGGAGGGTCAGAGGGAGAAGCAGGCTCCCTGCCGAGCAGGGAGCCCGATGCGGGACTCGATCCCGGGACTCCAGGATCATGACCTGAGCCGAAGGCAGTCGCTTAACCAACTGAGCCGCCCAGGCGCCCTAAAGATTTTATTTGACAGAGAGAGAGAGAGAGCAGGAACACAAGCAAGGGGAGAGGGAGAAACAAGCTTCCCACCGAGCAGGGAACCCGATGCGGGACTCGATCCTGGGACTCCAGGATCATGACCTGAACCGAAGGCAGTCGCTTAACCAACTGAGCCACCCAGGCGCCCTTTCTTCTGCCTTTTAGAAAACGTAGCATTACATTGCAACGTGTTCTAATAGAAAAGTACATTTTTTTCAGTTGAGGAAAATTACAAAAAAAAAGGAAAAAGAAAACTCACCAGTCGTCCCAACTACCTGGCAGGGACTTAAATTTTTCATTTAATACCTGTCACTTCTTTTCCCAGCACAAATATTTTTTACACAGTTGAGTTTATTTGGGGAAAATCATCTCGTATCCGGCTTTAAATCATATATATATGATGCAATTGTTGTTAAAATCTTAGCAACAAAGAAGGCATTGAAGACTTTAATGTAAATCTGCTTGTAGTGAATTGAAGAGACAGAGATGAATGGACACAGCGCATGAACACAATTCTTTCAAGAAGTTTGGCTGTAAAAAAAAAAAAAAAGAAGTTTGGCTGTAAAGGAAAAGAGAAAGGTCAGTAGCCAGAGAAGGATGGCAAATAAAAGAACAAAGTTGGGGTCTTTCCTGAAGAAGAGGACACTTAGTGATTTTATTAGTACAAGAGGAAAAACTAGTAGTCAGAGGTTAAAGATACTGCCAAGAAAGAGAATAACTGATTGAATAATTCCCTGAAGAAATAGAGGAGATAAGATCCACATATCATGTACATAAATTAGTTTGGGAGGTGGAACTGGGTAGGAGGATGTCAAGGTGGATTATGGATGTTAGTAATTTTAAAACTATTACAAGTTGGCAAGAGTAATAAAGATATGTATGTGTGTGTGTGTGTGTGTGTGTATATATATATATATATATGGCCAATAATAGGTATGCTCAGCCACATTAGTAGTAATATAAATGGAATATTAAATACCTATTAAATTTGCAAAGATTAGGGGCGCCTGGGTGGCTCAGTTGTTGGGTGTCTGCCTTCGGCTCAGGTCATGATCCCAGGGTCCTGGGATCGAGCCCCACATCGGGCTCCCTGATCGGAGGGAAGCCTGCTTCTCCCTCTCCCACTCCCCCTGCTTGTGTTCCCTCTCTCGCTCTCTCTCTGTCAAATGAATAAATGGAATCTTTAAAAAAAAAAAAATTGCAAAGATTAAAAAGCAGATAATATATGTGTTGGGCAAGGGTTCAGCTAAACACACTGCAGGTGGGAAAAGAAACTGGTACTCCTCTCCCCTCCGGGCACTTTGGAACTACAAATCCCTAAAATGTGTACGCACTTTGCGCCGGGTGCTGGAGGCGCCACTGGAGCCGACTAGGCTTGCGAGCTCCGCTGAGGAGCCGGAGGTTGGGCCGCAGTTACCTCCGCGTCGGCTCCCGGTCCCTGGCCCCTCAGCCGCATGGCGTGCGGGGCGACGTTGAAGCGGCCCGTGGAGTTCGAGGCGGCGCTGCTGAGCCCTGGATCCCCGAAGCGGCGGCGCTGCGCCCCTCTGCCCGGCCCCACTCCGGGCCTCAGGCCCCCGGACGCCGAGCCGCCGCTGCTTCTCCACTCGCAGACCCCACCGCCGACTCTGCAGCAGCCCGCCCCGCCGGCAGCGAGCGGCGCCTTCCAACACCGCAACAAAGTTTTCAGAACATAAAGCAAGACTATAGTCGTTATCAGAGGTGGAGACATTTAGAAGTCGTTCTTAACCAGAGTGAAGCTTGTACTTCGGAAAGTCAGCCTCATTCCTCAGCACTCACAGCACCTAGTTCTCCAGATTCCTCCTGGATGAAGAAGGACCAGCCCAGCTGGTTGGGAGCTTGGGAGCACAACACAGGTAAGCGTGGGGCTGGGCCAGTCCCTGGTAGCACTGCTATTTGGGAGGAGCCACTTTGCCTTTGTATCGGTTATTAAAAACAGAATTTGGATCCCTGTGGTCAGGCTCCCCCAAATTCTCTTTAAGAAGTGCCCATGTTCAACTGCTTGAGCTTTGTTCTGGCAACCCCCTGCCCAAAGTTGCTTACAGATTGTTCTTCACCTTGTTTCCAAGGCTGTGGAACAGAAAGTAGCCTCTGTTTTGAGGAGGTGGAAGTTAAGTTTTTTTACTGTGACTTGTTCAGGACCACATTTTACAAAATGCCTTGTTTCCCTTATTATTGTTTCTGGAAAGGAAAGTTCTATTAAAATTGTTTTAGTTTGAATATAGAATAGTTTTATTAATTAGGGCTTATTTTGAAAAATTCTGAGCTTAATTCAAGTGTATGCCAGTACCTTCCAAAGTAAAGTAATATTCAGAGACAGTTGTTCTGATCAGATGGCTTAGAGAAATTCTGGAATATTCATATTCGAAGATTCCTTATTAATGAATGTCTTTGACTTAAATCTAACCAAAAACTGCAACATTATTCTTTGTACATTTTCATTATATAGTGTTAACAAGCTTAGTTGCAAACAAATAAAATACTTAAGCTACTTGTTTAAAAAAAAAAGTGTATACACTTTGACTAAGCAAGTATACTTCTAGGAAGTTCTCAAAAGGAAATAGTCAAAATTGCACACATATATTAAGCTGGATGGAGTTCATTTCAGCTTGTCCACCAATGAAAGACTGGTGGAATATATTATACCCATACTTCTTAGACATGGATAACATGGCTGCAGATAAGAGAAGTTCACTTATATTAGTTTCAGTAAGAGCATCTTCAGGTTTTATAGGAAGGGAATGTGGAGTTGCAGTCTGATTGACTACCCTTATACACAATCAGTGGGATGCTTTGAACCATCAAAAATTACTTAGAAGACTATTCAGTGATAAGGAAAGATGAGTAAAATACATTGTTACAAGAGAAAAGTGAGGTATGAAAGCAGCATATGTAGGTTCTTAACCACATGATGGGTTTTTTTGTTTTTTAGGTATTCTGCTTTCTGCTTATCTGTATTATACATGATGTATATTTTTTTAAAGATTTTATTTATTTATTTGACAGAGAGAGAGAGAGAGCGAGAGCAGGAACACAAGCAGGGGGAGCAGGAGAGGGAGAAGCAGGCTTCCCTGCAAGCAGGGAGCCCATGTGGGGCTGGATCCCAGGACCCTGGGATCATGACCTGAGCCAAGTCAGATGCTTAAAGACTGAGCCACCCAGGTGCCCCCACATGATGTATATTTTATAAGGACATATACAATGTTGTTCTTTTAAAAATGTGAATAACTTTATAAGTAAGGCAGGCAGTTGGGGAAGTTCTCTCCTGATCACCTTGAACTTGATTATAACTCTCTGTGAAGTAGGAGATCCAAAGAAATTAGATGCTTTAATAAGCTGTAAGAACTGTTTTTTAAATGTATTTTATAGATGCATATTATTTATCAATGCCCCACCAATCTCACAAAAGATTGAGCGTGCTAAGAAAGAGATATATTCTATAGTAGGAGAAAATGATCAGAAGAGGCAAAAGGTAATTGGAAAACAAGCAAAATCAAACAAAATAAAGGCAAGCATGTGTTAATACCCCAAAAAATCATGCCAAAAGTTCATTTGTAATTGCTAGAGGGGTGCCACCACAAATTAGTCTCTGATATTCCTAGCAACTAAAACAAAAGGAAAACATAGTTCTAAGTTTCACATGGTCTGTAAGAGGTTTTTTTTAAGTTGCTTAAGAGAAGTATAATTTGGTATAGAAAGCTGAGAAAAATCCCCCCCAAGGTTCTAATAAGGGAATAATATGAGATTCATCTATTACTATTTTTTTATTTGTATGTATTGTTTTTATAGAATTTAGGAACATTTCAGAAAGGTTATACTCCTCTTTATTAACTCAGTACTTACAAGCTCTCATTAAGTACTGTGAGAAATAGAAACACATGTAAGACAAAGTCCCTGCCCTCATCTATTATGAAAGAATAACTATAATATATAATAGCAGGTTTACAATATATAATGACTAACTAGTAAGATTAATAATTAGCGATGATGAGTAATAAAATAACCAATATGAATGACTATAAATCGAGGCACTGTTTGAAGTAAAAAGTGAGATGGGATTCCTGCAGTATATAGAAATACTTTCAACCAGTGGGATCATGTTTAACCATTTGTTAAAAGGGGATGATACTCCCCTTTTACAGAAGAGGAAACAGATTTACAGAGATTCGATTAATTGTCCAGGGTCACATGGCTGGTAAAGGACAGAGCCAGGACTTCAAACCAAATCTGTTCCATGCAAACCACCTTCTTAACTACTACACTTTATGGGGGAGATAGCATTCAAATAGACTTTTAAAGGATGGAAAAAGTTATGTCAGGCAGAGTTTGGGGAAAGATATTCTAGGTGGAGAGAATAGCACTAAACAAAATCAAAAAGGTTGGAATGCATAGGGTATGTTTTGGGTAACACACACACACCCCAGAAAAGTGAGATATATGTAGGTAAGCACTAGAAGAATAAGACCAGAAAGGTTGGGACAGATTTTTTCATTTTTAAGAATTAGGGCATAGTTTACCTGATAAAGAACTCAGACCTCAGGGCCTAATAAAGCAAGAGTTTTAAGCACAGAGACTTGAACCTGAAAATTCTATGTCAGGGCCCTGGATGGGGAATATGAGGGACACTAGGTGAGGAACAGGTCTAATGACAAATAATAGAATCCTGTTACACATTAACTGTGTAAAATTGGCCAGGTAATGTAAGTTATTTGGACCTCAATTTTTTTATCTCTTAGAAAGGAGACTGTCAGGGACGCCTGGGTGGCTTAGTCGGTTAAGTGTCTGCCTTCGGCTAGGTCATGATCCCAGGGTCCTAGGATCGAGTCCCACATCAGGCTCCCTGCTCAGCGGGGAGCCTGCTTCTCCCTCTCCCTCTGTCTGCCGCTCCCCCTGCTTGTGTTCTCTCTCTCTCTCTCTCTCTGACAAATAAATAAAACCTTTAAAAAAATGTTTAAAAAAAAAAAAGGAGACTGTCAGACACGATGATCTCTTAATATCTCTTCTTGTACTAACATCCTGTGATCACATATGCCAGAGATTGCAAACTCAAATGCCTAAATTAAGGATCAAGAAGGTTTCATAAATTAGTAAATGAATTTGATGTGAGAAAAATAAGGAGTGTTAGAGATTAGAGTGGTAGTTTAGATGTCCCATTTAAAACTCCAGCCAATTTTTGCATGAGTGAGGACCCAATGTTGCCAATTTTCTAATTTTTCATGAGAAACCCAAGAACATGATATTTTTAAGAATATTATACAGAACAAACAAAACCTCTGCTGGCTAGATACAGTCCATGGGTCACTAATTTTCAACCTCAGCTATAGATAAAAGGGCGTAAAGAAGAATAATAAGTGTTTGAATGAAGAGAACTAAGTATGAAGAAAGAAGAAGGAATCAAAGAGAATACCAGGATTTCCCCTAGGTAATGAGGAGGAGGTGGGAACATTAAGATAAATATTAAAATCAGTAGAAGGTTTGGAGAGAAGGTGCTTGACTGTGAGTTTTTTGAACACAGGACAAAGATCTCAGTCATAGGTGTCCACAGCACACAAATCAGATTAAGACGTTGAGTTTTGACAAACTGAGGGTTGCTAGAGTGGTGGGGGGTGGGAGGGATGGGGTGGCTGGGTGATGGACATTGGGGAGGGTATGTGCTATGGTGAGTGCTGTGAATTGTGTAAGACTGTTGAACCACAGACCTGTACCACTGAAATAAAATATACATTATATGTTAAAAAAAAAAAAAAAAAGAAGAGGAAGATAGTAGGAAGGGAAAAATGAAGGAGGGGAAATCAGAGGGGGAGACAAACCGTGAGAGACTATGGATTCTGAGAAACAAACTGAGGGTTTTAGAGGGGAGGAGGGATGGGGGGATGGATTAGCCCAGTGATGGGCATTAAGGAGGGCACGTATTGCATGGAGCACTGGGTGTTATATTCAAACAATGAATCATGGAACACTACATCAAAAACTAATGATATAATGTATGATGACTAACATAAAACAAAATTAATAAAAGAATTAATAAAAAAAGATGTTGAGTTTTGAGAAATCTGTGTAATTTATCAAGGCAAAAGGGTTCAGGAAATGTAAGACAGGAGTTTGGGAAGAGAGGATGAAACAGAAGTTAAAGATGTAAGATTTGGGGCACCTGGGTGGCTCACTCATTAAGCGTCTGCCTTCAGCTCAGGTCATGATCCCAGGGTCCCGGGATCGAGCCCCACATCGGGCTCCCTGCTCCATGGAAAGCCTGCTTCTCCCTCTCCCATTCCCCCTGCTTGTGTTCCCTCTCTCGCTGTGTCTCTGTCAAATAAATAAATTAAAAAAAAAAAAAGATGTAAGATTCATTCTCTCAAAGTTTTATTAAACATATATCACAATATGTATTTATTTCTTAAGACTATACATTCTATGAGGGCAGAAACCACACACGTTTTTTTCACCACTTACCCAGCACCTAGCACAATAAATGGTAGGTGCAGAATGTATGTTGAATAAACAAATGAATAAATACAGCGTGTGCTTCACAGTACACAAGGCACAGGGTTGAATTAGAAAATGTTCTCAAAGAAGTTTATAGGCTAGAAAGTAAGTCAAGTCTTATATATAACCTAATCTGTTTGAAATTAGTACCATTAAAATAAAGGTACCATGGAATTCAGAAGAGAAAGAATTTTTTTTTAAGATTTTATTTATTTATTTGATAGAGAGAGACAGCGACAGCAGGAACACAAGCAGGGGGAGTGGGAGAGGGAGAAGCAGGCTCCCCGCCGAGCAGGGAGCCGGATGCGGGGCTGGATGCGGGGCTGGATGTGGGGCTCGATGTGGGGCTCGATGTGGGGCTCGATCCCAGGAC